CTATAGAAAGTTGAGGAGGCTGATGATCACGACATTCGATCGATGCTGAATTTATCCCAACTCGTGAGAATCCCTTTGGAATTGATGTCTTCGAACGAATTATCCAAGTGCTTCTAGAATAGTTTGATCAAAACGAGGAATCCCTTAATTTGGCGAATTGTTATGCATATAGTTTTGTAAGGGGGGGGGGAGAAAAGTGGGAATCTTTTGTGACTATCTATTTCTGGTATATTGGGACATATTTTGAGCAATGGATCTGACCATTTTCTCCAGAAACCCAAATTATTGCTGAAATGCATTGGAATTGGGTGAGACGAGCCCATTCTCTAGCAACCTGCAAGAGTTTAACACACAACACTCATTTGCATCATGCTTATATTCCAGTCTCACACTTTCCCACAATGTCGAGTTTGGAGGAGCCACTAGCCTTTGACAAGTTGCCAAGTATGACCACCATTGATAGGATTCAAAGATTCTCGTCTGGTGCTTGTCGGCCCAGGGACGATGCCGCCATGGGACACCGCTGGATTGACGGAAGAGACTGCACCACGTCAAACACTTGCAAGTGAGTAGTAGGTTTTTATCAGTCTTTATATTCTTTGGTTTCAGTTAGGTTTCTTGCAAACTTTTTTTCTGGAAATTGGTTTTGTTTTTGTTAGCTGAGGGTCCAAACTTTTCATTTTCTATACTTTCTGTTAACTTACAGTGATGATGACAAAAGCTTTAGTAGAGAGTCCTTTCCGTGGAGAAGGCATACTCGGAAAATATCGGAAGGCGAGCATCTACTTCGGAATTTTTCAACTTCAGCAAAGCATTCTACAGTTTCTGGGACTTTATGGGAATCCAATAGTTTTCAAGAGCATAAGTATAGCACAGTTAGGAAGGAGAATGGCATACCACATTCATGTGACAAGGTAGTTTTCTAATAATGGTAGATAATGGTTTTTATTCCTTCTACATAAAGCATAGTCACATATCCTTTTTCTTTTTATTTGTCTGTTTATGCAAGTTTTTTAATTGTAAACATGTCTCCGAAATGATTCATTGTCTTTAAATTTCTGCTGAATTGTCCCCAGTACAAAACAACCGTTTCCTCTCTCTTATTCTGCCTTTTCTGTATGACTTTCAGATCTTTAGAGGTATACCAAAATTTGTGAAGATTGTAGAAGTTGGTCCAAGGGATGGCCTGCAGAACGAGAAAAATATAGTACCCACATCTGTAAAGGTGGAACTTATTCAGAGATTAGTTTCTTGTGGATTGCCCGTTGTCGAGGCTACAAGTTTTGTATCACCTAAATGGGTTCCTCAGGTAATGCTGTTATGCTGATGTTTATAATTATAACTCCGGAACTGTCATATGATCATATATTTGGTGTATCCTATAATTAAGCATATAGCGCGACCACTTTGAAGAAATGTTGAAAGGCTTTTACTATTTTCATATAGAGCGACCACTTTGAAGAAATGTTGGAAGGCTTTTACTATTTTTCACATAAAAATGGAAGTTCCCTTCGCAGAATTGGCTGCATCTAAATAGTTTTTCAAGACGAATTCTTTTGTTGTGATTTGCATCTCACCAGTAGTTTATTTAGGGACCGGGTATGGAAAAAAATAAAACTGGTAAAACATTGTCCTATCACACCCCCATGGAACAAAAGTTTATCTGAGTTCCAGCTGCACAGTTTGAAAAAAAATGCATTGCTTGCTTTTATGGTCTTGCGTGTGCTTACAGCCAACTGAGCAACAAGCATACCATTTCTGGAAATTTCTTTTTGTTATCTTTAGTTCTTGGTACAAGTAATTCAAATTGCCTCTTATAGGCAGAACAACGGAGACAGTCGTTTTCCAAGTTTCTGATTGTGTAGAGGAAGTATGGTACCATTTAGATTATAGAAATAATATCAGCAATGGATGCTTACGTATTTTGACTGAACAGAAATATATACCATATCGCCTTGTAGCTTGCAGATGCAAAGGATGTAATGGATGCAATAAGCACGCTAGATGGGGCTAGATTGCCGGTTCTTACACCGAATCTAAAAGTGTGTATCATTCATCTCTTAAGGTTCTCCAAAGAATTCTTGGTTTCTTACTTTTGAACACCAACATAGGGTGCTTGCTTTGTTTTAGGGCTTTGAAGCGGCTGTATCTGCAGGTGCTAAGGAAGTTGCAATCTTTGCATCGGCTTCTGAGTCATTCTCTTTGTCAAATATCAACTGTACCATTGAAGAGAGTCTCTTGAGATATCGTGCTGTTGCCACTGCTGCAAAGGAGCATTCGGTTCCCATCCGTGGGTACGTTTCTTTTGCTTTGTCTTGCTTCTGTACAATATCTGTTCCCCTTAGATGGCACCTATCAAGAATTGTGCGAGAATATAGTGTAACTGTTTGCCCAATCAAGTTTTCCGAACTTCTCTGCTGGTGGGAGAAACATCGTTATGTTCTAAAACCCAGTTATTTGTTCATGGTTTCTCGCTGTCCAAACAATGTCTAATTTAAATCTGTAATGAACGAAAATTTTGAGTGACCGGTGGATCATGTTTGGAAATTTTTTAATTCATGTGTGTTAATCTTATCCTAGGGCCTGTATGACATAAACTTTTAGAAAGGTGATATGTTTATCTCAGTTCCGGATTAATGTGTAATCCTAATGATAATATGGAATGGACGCATAAACAGTATTTCTTGTCCGAACTTCATTTAGTAGTAAGCTTATTTTATTTAGTTCAGTTCTGGTTTAATGTATCATATTATGGGCCCATTGAGTGTTTGTGGTAAAATCCACCTTTTGTCCAATTTTAGACCCTTAGCAGAAACAGTTGGTACTAATTAATGTCCATGATTATTTTCCCAATGTTGAAGGTATGTATCCTGCGTTGTGGGGTGTCCAGTGGAGGGAGCCGTTCCACCCTCAAAAGTGGCTTATGTTGTGAAAGAACTCTATGACATGGGCTGCTTCGAGATTTCTCTAGGTGATACAATTGGAATTGGCACTCCTGGTAATTTCTTTACTGCAAGCCTTGTGTAGTTTATTTGATTTCGCAAGTGCCTGTAGGTGTGTATATATATTATTACATTCAGCGGCTCAGCTATTAGATATAAGGCTACTACCTATGCTGAATGCAGCCGAGTAGAGCTGTCGTCGTGAGTTGGTTAGAGAGCAGTTAGTGAGGGATGGGTTTATGAGAACTCGGAGGTTTTGGCTCACATTTGGTTGACATTTGAGAGTCTCTCATTAATCAATTTTCTCTGCGTGTTGGTGAATTGAATAAGAAAAGTAGTTTTACGTACAACTGATGTTGTTATAAAATAGGTTCTGTGGTTCCCATGCTTGAAGCCGTGATGGCAGTTGTGCCAGCAGAGAAGCTGGCTGTTCACTTCCATGATACGTACGGGCAAGCGCTTGCAAACATATTGGTGTCTCTCCAAGTAAGTCGACGAAAAGAACAAGATTTGACTATCTATACCCTTTCAAATATGGGTCTGACAAGTTTTGGTAAAAAAAATGTAACAGATGGGAATAAACATAGTAGACTCATCAGTTGCTGGATTAGGCGGCTGCCCATATGCAAAAGGAGCTTCAGGGAATGTGGCCACAGAAGATGTTGTTTACATGCTCAACGGTTTAGGCATCCAAACCAACGTCGACTTGGGAAAGCTTATAGCTGCTGGAGATTTCATCAGCAAGCACCTAGGCCGTCCCAACGGTTCCAAGGCTGCGGTTGCCCTTAACCGTCGGATCATAGCTGATGCCTCCAAGATATAATGAATGTTATAAGAGGGAGGAATCACGTATCGAGACGAAAAAGTGAATATAACTTTTATAAATGAATGGTTTCCATTGGAATAAATGATGCATTATTTTGTTAGGTGGGCTCAATGTCCTAAAATACGATCTACGCTAGTCTGGGGGTGGACCACCGTATAGCGTATACGCGGACGATTATGCGGAATATATACGGTGGATATTTTTGCATATTTATATATAAATATACAAAAATATTTTGTTTTAATAGGTAATAGAAAAAAATAATATCATGAATTGTATAAAAAAACTTAAATAATTAACATTAACATAGTAATTTTAATTTAAAAATTGTTTCAAATAACCATTCTGCACCTTGGGCCCAATGCTGCACAATACATTGTGTTCGAACGTAACTATTTGATAATATAATAATTATATTATTTGAATTCTGAATAGTAAGATTTTCGACATGATGACTTTAGTAACGTATTCATCTAACAAAATATTATAGAAAAAATGTTTAATAGCTACACAAGTATTGCCCGTTTTATGGCTACACATTCCAACTAAATTATTGTCACATTAACTCTATTGGGTACTTGATAAACATGGTAACATATACGAACAAGCATACGCCATGATTGTAAGACCATAGACCATTAATCCATCAATCATTATTAAACGAAATCGTTAAATCTGATTGATACAATTAGAAACTAACTCATATATGAGATAGATTAAATAGGCTTTACCCCGGCTTAATACAAACTAAGCCCAAATCAACCGATCTGACCGAAATTGCATCTTTTTTTAAT